TGCAGTGGAACAGCAGCTGAGCATTCTTGTTTTTCTCAAACTTGTTGGATCATTTTGGTAGTAAATTATTTTTAATTGACTCTTATATTCAGAATCAAGTGTGGTGATTAGTGAATAGTTCTTTGTAATTAAAAATATATAGAATTCAGAAATGTAAAATATGAATTCAGGTAAATTGGGACAATTTTTTGCCATTGAGAAAAATGGGAAAAATTTTCCTGGATCAACCCTATATATATATATAACGTAGACTGCACACAAACTGCAGTTTTTGACAATGAAATAGTGTTATTATATATTTATATAATAAATATTAACACTTTCTATTTAGACTCATAGTAATCTCCATGTAATTCTGCAATTATTTTAAAGTACTATCACCGTGGGAACCTTGAAAACAGCACTGGGCTGGAGTTTTAAATCATGTTCTAGAAACAAAAGCTGACCTTTGAAAAAAAAAGGTGGATGAGGTGTCAGTCATCATGTGAATAGTCACGTTCTCAACGTTACCACTCGTGAACAGAAAGCACAGAAACAATCAAGTGTCATTTCATTTTTTTTTAATACGCGAGCACCACGTAAATTGTCATGATACCAAAATACATAGATTCAGAATGCGAAATGGGAAACATTATATACACACACACACACTCGAATATCACAAAATGTACAGGTCTTTATAAAACAAAGACGTTAAAACAGTGGCCTAAACCTCGTACAGTCAAGTTTCGTGTGATCGACCCTGTATCGGTTCAGTGACAATGCAATATTGACCTTCATGACACGTTTGCATATGTTGTAATACCACTCGCTCACATGGCTTCAGAATGGTCAACACTTCAAGGACTGTAGTAGATTCCAAGGAGTAGCACCAGCATTCAGATAGTTCCTTCACTAGAAAGGCATGCCCGGACATCTTACAGGCCAAACAGACTCATGCTTGCTGGGAAGTCCCACACTACGATGTCGGGCCTGACCACGTGTTACCAATGCGCCCAGAGCAACCCGGATGAGAAGTACAGTGCAGTACAATACAGTTAGAAAGCTACTATCGCCGTACTCCAAGGGTTTAGGTTCTTCAACATTTGGTCACAGCAGATTTGTCCACTATCCTCTGCCTCGGCCTCAGGTTTGGCGCTTTCTTTGCTGAGAAGTCCTGAGAAACTGGAACCAAATATCGTTATGAGGTTGGACACGTTACTCGTGTCCATCTCCTCGGCTTCCTCGTCCTCTTTAGCGTTTGAGGAAGCAACTTTGGTCCTTTTTTGAGGCGAATCGCCACTTTCCGACTCCTCGGCGCTTCTTTTTCTGTTTGAACAAACGTGCGGTTTTGGTGGTTGATGTGATTCCCCGTTCGCTTCAGGCGTTGAGTCGCGTTCTGCTACTGCGCTGTCTGAGGGACTCTCCTTGGGCTCGGTAATGGATTCCGGCGGTGTTTCAGATGAAACCTTAGCCACAGAGTCCAGCGAAGAGTTTTGGTTTTGCTCTTGTAAAGTGGAAGTACAATCCACCTGGTCTGATTTCACCTCATCGTCGTTTTCGCGATATTCGCGCTCTTTCTCGGGCTGCTCGTTCGGTTGAGGTTCCTCTGTGCTCTCCACTCGGTCGCATTCCGTTGCAGAGGGAGGGAATTTCTCCCGCTCGGAGTCCGTAATGTCCCATTCGTTCCCTTCGCGTTCGCTCTGAGCGTTCAGGCAAGCGCCGCTGTAGTAGTCGCTCAGATAGACCTGACGCGCGCTGCGAAGCACCAGCGAGACCAGGAGGTTTTTATGCAATTTAATGCCGCCTCGTTGAACGCGTGAGTTGTAGATTTTCCCTAAGGAAATACTCATAATCCGATGGGCTTCCACTTTGTATTCCATGTCTGGAATCGATACGGTAAAGTTCGCCGGGCGTTTCGCGTTTGATTTCCTCTCAGGACTCTCCTCAAACCGCTACTGATAATTGGCCGTCGGCACGGAAACACGATAATAAATAACGTCCAAGTAGTTTTTCCTTCCGTAGATCAAATCGTCCCGTTGCTTGTTGACACAAGCCTCATTCCCATTCACAAAATACAATATTTGTGTTATTGGGTGAGTGTAGGAGTTTTTAATACCGCACACATTCTCTTCAGCAACCAACAATGGTCTAAGGAGGAATGAGACCGTTTCTATTTTTAACTCGCTTTTATACTTAAACGTCAGCGGCTACACTAGCCAATCACGTCTCGAGTTGCGTTCTGCTACCGTTGTGAATCACACCCCGCCAAATAGGCGATGACCAATGGGAGAGCGCTGTGACGATGACTCATATTTAAATACTAACGTGGGAGAACTGTTTAAAGGGAAATAATTGTTTTCAAGCTAAATCAGACAGCTATTTTTACAATTCGTTGTGTGTATTCAGCTATTTTGATTGATAAAACTAATATTTAAAACACAATATCGTTTTTGTACGCGAATAGAAACGAATAACAAGCCAAAATCGACATGTACGAGACACTAAATCGTGGTTTTACAGATTATGTAGCGTATTTAGGGTAGGCTGGTTGTTTCATTAGTTTAGTTTCTAAAGCATCTACACGTTCCCGTATTATTGTTATTTTTTTACACAGTTTCCGCATAGCAGCTCATCTCGTGTTATGTTCAGAAAAACTGGTACTTCCCCTTTAATTTTTTCAACTGACTTCCTCGACTGATGTAATGGTTTGTCTGCTACAGTCGTGTCACATGACTCTATTGTGCAAATCCATTGCGGTGTCTGGGCAAATGTGAATGGAGCTGTTAGTGGGGGGAAGGGCAATGTTTTGTTTGAAAAAACAGTTAGCTGCTACTCATGAATAGTGTGGGAGATTTGACCCTGAACGGACGATAATGCTTCTAAATGGCGCTGCTTTCATTATTTATATGTATTTTTTTAGATGAGTAATCCGTGTGCGGTTTGTGTGTTCGCCTGCATTAAGATGTGGGTCATAAACAACCCTGACAGGAAGAGCGGGCTGTGACGTAACGTTAAGACACTTTCAGAGATTGTTTATCTAAATATAAACGATCACAGTCATCATGATATCTTTTGAGAAATACTTGATTTCTAGTGCCTCAAGCCGTATTTCAGACTGAGAGTGTATTATTGATAGACGAGAACATGGATTAAAAGCCTTAATACTGTCATTTAAAGCAGCATCCAGCTGTGTTTAGGCTGCAGTTAGTAAAGGGATACAATACAAGGTCTGTTTAAAATAATGTAGGCTTATCTATTCCCAGCTCTTCAATTACAGGCCTGCGTGTTGATGGGAAACTGGCAACTGATAACAATAAATAAAACCAGAGTTGATTAATAATTGATGCAGCTTTACTTACTAAGCTGAGCTGAAGTGTTTCCAGCTGGTTTGCTGGTTTTACATCACACACAACCGTCCGCTTACCAGTGGATAGCACTGGTGTAGTTTGTCAGCTAATGAGAAGGCAGTGCGCTGTGATGAATAATGTATGAAGCACTGTTTTAGTAGGCAGACGAGGTGCAAAACTACATTTATTAAGAGAACCCAGTGGCAGACTCATAAATGTGGCCTTTTGTTATCATTATTATAGATGATTTCAAATGTTGTTGTTGTTGTTGTTGTTAATCTTTTAATTATCTTTTCTTTTTGTGGGAATAGATTGGAGGTGTTATCCTTATCTATTCCCAGCTCTTCAATTACAGGCCTGCGTGTTGATGGGAAACTGGCAACTGATAACAATAAATAAAACCAGAGTTGATTCATAATTGATGCAGCTTTACTTACTAAGCTGAGCTGAAGTGTTTCCAGCTGGTTTGCTGGTTTTACATCACACACAACCGTCCGCTTACCAGTGGATAGCACTGGTGTAGTTTGTCAGCTAATGAGAAGGCAGTGCGCTGTGATGAATAATGTATGAAGCACTGTTTTAGTAGGCAGACGAGGTGCAAAACTACATTTATTAAGAGAACCCAGTGGCAGACTCATAAATGTGGCCTTTTGTTATCATTATTATAGATGATTTCAAATGTTGTTGTTGTTGTTGTTGTTAATCTTTTAATTATCTTTTCTTTTTGTGGGAATAGATTGGAGGTGTTTAATTCATGCAATTTATTAAAGTCTAGAGTTCAAGTAAATAAAAAAAGTACACTGTTGGCACCATAGTACAATAAGATGGTTATACCTGCTTGCTTTAATATATACTATTGTATCATGTGAGAAAATGTATATAAGAAATAATAATAGAGCATTTCTGGACATGTACCATGATGCTATAATGGTATTTTGAAAGTAATATGAATTTTTGAATATGAAATACCATGGTACATAATTTTCTGTATTTCAAAGCATTTATGGTATCACTAATCAGAATCACAATATCACAACACCATGGTATTTACCACAGTACTTTTTAGTGTACAAGACAGGTAAAAGTTATATAATAATAGTAGTAGTAGTAATAATAATTATTATTATTAAATTAAAAAGAATTATAATTATTACAAATAATTATTAACAACAATAATAATATAATAAAAGTGCATACTATATCAGTATCAAATAATAATACAGTAATATTGCCTGAAATGCTATAGAGGTGTTGAAATGCCTGTAACTGCATAATTTATCCAGCAGTATCTAGTGTAGAAGATAAACCATAATAATATAATATACCATAATAGTAATATAAATATACAATAATATTGTACAATATACTGTAGAAATATTCAATTATAACAGAATAAATATTGACGGTGTTGAAATGTTTAACTGCATTACTACATTTATATAGCAGTATGTGAATTAAACAGGCTAAGAAATAAATGTTTAACTCTGTTTTGTCGTTGTTGTTGTTTTTTCTTCTTCTCATAATTACAATCTTGCTTTTATGCATCTGTACCATCTGAGGCAATATTGCTTTGTTCTTTTCCTGCAACAAACCAAAACAACCCACGCAGAGCACGCCGGTGTTTGTTTACCGGGAAGCGTGTGCGCGTGTGCGCGTGTGCCTAGACGCTCAAGAACCCGGATGTGATTCCGCCAGGCAATGGCGGCCGAGCGGATCCGGGCTCCGTCCCATATGTAAACAACACATTAAGCGCTCTCCTTTGTTTAAGAAAAGCAAAACCAGCCGCGATCAGGAGCATGAGATTATCGCACAAGAATCGACTCATCTGAGCACCAAAATGTCAATGGAAGATCCGTTTTTCGTCGTGAAAGGGTGAGTTTGGTCGAATATCGATTTAGGAGAAAGCGAATTATTAGCTCAAAAGTTTTTTCTTATAATTAAACTTTTCTGTTTACCAATGTTAGCACTGCGTGTGAACGCTTTGGGAGGTCGTATGTCTCTACGCAATACCGTTTAAAACAGCTGTTTCAGTGGGATCGTTGTCGTGTTGCCATGGCAACGGTTATTATCGATTTTCCCACCATTGTGTCATGCCTTTAAATCGATATCGATTCCTCGACGTGGTATTGTTGTGTGGTACCAGATATCTGCTCTTAACTATATTACATTTACAAATAGGTGCCATTTTACTACCGCTTTCTTTAGACAAGTACCATGGTATTCTGGGATGTACCTTGGAGTTCCATGAAAATACCATGGTGTAAGTGTCAAAGTACCATGGTATTTCCACTGGACCAAGATATGTCCAAAGCATGGAACTATCACGTTTTTTGGACCTGTACAGTGGTATACTTGGAGTTACCTTGGAATGGCATGTGCATACCATGATGTAAATCAAAGTACCATGGTATTTTCTTATGATACCATCACTTTGCCATGGTACATGTCCAAAATCAGGATATTATAATAATGCCAAAAGTACTGTAGTATTTTTGTTCATATCAAAAACATTTGCATTGTCATTATTCAAATGCTGTTGGGTTCCTCACTTTATAAAGAGGTTTAATTGATTGCTTTTTCGTTAGAGAGGTGCAGAAGGCTGTGAACACAGCTCAGGGGCTTCATCAGAGATGGATGGAGCTGCTACAGGACCCGGGTGGAGCCAGCAAGGAGGAGGTGGACTGGACCACTAATGAGCTGAGGAACAGTTTGAGGTCCATTGAATGGGACTTGGAGGACTTGGATGAGACTATTAATATCCTTTTGTTTCTGGTGGCCTATGTTTGGACTAAATGGTTCAGGTGTTTATAGGTTGTAGCCTTAACCTTGTCTTTAAGTATTGTGGAGGCTAATCCAAAGAAGTTCAATCTCGATGCGATGGAGCTGGCCAAGAGGAAAGCCTTCATCACTAGCACTAGGCAAACAGTCAGGGTGAGCATATTTGAGAGACTTAAACATATCTGAACCAATGGCTCATGAATATCTCTAATGGATTTTCATTTTACAGGAGATGAAAGACCACATGACTAGTCCAATGGCCATGACGGTGTCCGAGAGGAAAAATCGACAGGTTTGTACTTAAACTATAAAAGTAGGAGCCAATTTATGATTTGGCAAGTATGCGTATCATCTCGTGACAATTTATGATCCCGTATTAGACTTTAATGGGCGATGGCGGGTCTCGTGGCCCAATCTGGCAACCCAGTGCAGATAAGTACACTAGACTGGACCGGGAGCTGCAGACGGCAAACTCACAGTTCATTGAGGAACAGCAGACCCAGCAACAGGTACATCAATACAGCAGTTCATATCGCAGTTAACAGCTAATTATGACATGATTAGCATATTCTACCATGTTTATGAGCATTTATCAGGACAGTGTGTTTTATTTGTATGTGTACATTGCAGCTCATAGGAGAACAGCAGGATGAGCAGCTGGAGTTGGTGTCGGGAACTATTGGCGTCTTGAAGAACATGTCACAAAGGATCGGCCAAGAGCTGGATGAGCAAGCTGTGTAAGTCACTTTTCAAAAATTATGAATTTTATTTTTAAATAAAACAAATTACATATAATTTGAAGAAAGAAATATATATATAGTATTTGTATTTTTTATATATATATATATGTGTGTGTGTGTATGTGTGTGTGTGTATAGATTATACATCATTATAATTATGTATATTGAATATACATAATTTTGAATATGTAAATAATATATACAGTATATATATATATATATATATATATATATATATATATACACACACACAAACTTTTTTTAAATATAATTTTTGAATAGTAATTTCTGTCTGTCTGTCTATCTATCTGTCTGTCTGTCTATCTTTCTACCTACCTACCTATTTATCTATATACTTATATACTTTTTCAAAGTATTTTTATATAGTATTAATATATTTATTATTCATATTCAATTCATTCAATTTCAAACCAGAACACAACACAAACTTGTGCATGAAAAACTGCATATATATTAATTTATATATAATTTTTTAATTTTACATAGTTAAATTATTAAAAAATATATATATTTTTAGTAATACATTTTATTATTATTATTATATATATTTTTTCATTAATTACAAACCAGAACACAAAATAGTACATGAAAAAGTGACCTGCTTTTAGCCTGAATCCTGACAGTTTTAGTCTGAATTGATTCTGACTGTGTGTCTGGCCTGTTTTCAGAATGCTGGATGATTTTTCACATGAGATGGACAGCACTCATTCCAGACTGGATAATGTCATGAAGAAACTGGCTAAAGTTTCTCACATGACCAGCGGTGAGTAATACTGCAGAGGAAGAGCAGACCTGCTTCATTTACTGGCTAAAAATAATGCTTAAAATGCATGTTAAACTCAGTCTGAAAATACTTTCAACAGTTATTAAACTGAAACCTCTTATTTTAATATTTGACATGATATCTGACACTTTAGCAGTATTTATGTAGTATATTAGTATTAACGTTTTATGTCAAGCCAAAACTTTGTCAGAATTCATAAAGTTGGCACTCTGTTTAGAAAGAAATCCATCCTGCGTTTCCTGTTAGTAGAACCCCTTGTCTTCCTGATTGGCTGCGGTGCCCCTTATAAGGCAAAGCATGAACAGGAAGTCAAACTTCCGGACTTTTTCAAAGGAAAACTTTGGTTAAGAGAGCCAAGAATGAAATCTGAGCTTCTCCCGAAAGTTATGGGAATGTTTTACAAACGTTCTCTGGCTGTATGGATTAACTGTTTAACCTAGTTATCAGTGTTTTAACCTGTTATATTCTTGCCTGACCCCGCAGATCGTCGACAGTGGTGCGCTATCGGCATTCTTCTGGCCATCCTGTTTGTCGTGATCATTCTCTTGATTGTTCTGTGAACAGCCCTCCTCCGTCCCCCGCCTGCGAACGCTCACTCCAACGAAGGTGCTTGGGAGAGAAACAAAACCCTTTCTCCATCTTTAGTCCATTATACGGTAGAACGCTGCTGCTTTGTAACCTTTTGCTTTCTTAGAAACAACCCTGACAGAAAACAAATGGGTAACACAGCGTGTAAAAGCAAGGGCTGGTTTTTCGTAAACGCGTTTTTGGTTTGGCGATAACGCGGTCTGATCATTTCGTACGAGTTATGTCGTAATCCAGGGTAAATCGTTTCTTTCAAATGGACAATGACTTTAAATACTTCAAAGGATCAAGTGCTACTAGAAAAAATTGCCTACGTTATTTCCTGTGCGCTGCTTTAATAGTCGGTTTAGACCACTGTAAATAATCAACACCACCTACTAAACACTGGAGTTTAACAAACCAGATACTGTTAAAGCGGGTGTATTACTGATCATACTAATGGGAATGAGTTATTTACTGTCTAAGTGTTTATTTCTGTGTGCTTTGTTTACTTATTTTTTACATTTGAGTTATTGATAATCAGTTACTAGTGAGATTTATTGACACGCACTGCGGTTTGTTTCTTTAAACTGAATAGACTTGTGTTTTTAACGGAAACGTTGAGGTGAAACACTCCGGATAACTGCCTAAAAGTCTCCAAATAGGTTAACAATTCAAATAGTAACCAGAAATTGTGCTCAAGTAAGCATTAAACATGTGAATTGCGTGACAATTGGGTATTAATCTGTAGAAAGTCTGAAAATGGATCATTTCAGATGAAAGTGAAGTTTTGGACCAAGTGTATTTTAGCATAAAAGCTCAATTTGACAACTAATAGTTAAAGGATGAGTTCATCCTAAATGAATGGGTTGGGTTCTATCCAAGATGTAGATGAGTTTGTTTCTTCAAGGTAACAGATTTGAAGAAATGTAGCATTGCATCACTTGCTTATCAAAGGATCATTTGCAGTGAATGGGTGCCGTCAGAATGAGAGCTCAAACAGCTGATAAAAACATCACAATAATCCACACGACTCTAGTCCATCCATGAGCGTCTCTGATGACCTGATGGTCAGTAAATCTTCAGCAAATGTTTATTTCTGGGTGATCTAATCTTTATAGTTATAAGTCATTATCTAATCAGTGCTTTAGCACAGATGAGCGTGAAGTTACATTTCATTTTAGAAAGCCAGGCACTCGTGACAAAACTTTAGGTTGCGTTTCACATTCTTAAACAGCTCAGCAAGGAGGTTCGTCCAGTATTTAACATATATATTTTCACAAAGTGTCGGTTTGCATTATATTTCCACTGCTAACTCGAATGGAAACGAATGAAGCAGCAGTTACTAATATGAAAATCATTGTATTTGTTGTCTTTTGACAGCACAACACTACATATTCTGTGAAAACAGGAGTACGTTTATCTTACTGGATATGTGTATTGTTTTTGTTTTGTTTGTTTGTTTGTTTGTTGTTTTAATAATCTCTTTTGGGTGGATCACACAAAGAAATGTTAATGTAACTCACCCCAAAATCAAAAGAAAAAAAATGTTACATTGTATTTTGCATATGAAAATAAATAAGCCTTTTTTCGGCATTATTATACATTATTGTCATGCCAGTTAAGCACATTTTTCATTACTTTAATGTAAAAAAAAAATCATGATTTTAATGTAATATAATAAAAATAATCTTGTCTGGGCACAATTATATTTGTATTAAAATATCATGACCACAATTTAATTTAAAATAAATGCAATTTAATACATCAAATATTTTTCTTGTAATTTAATTCACATTGCAGTATTGAGAATTGTTAATTGGCCATTAAAATGTGCTTAATCATAATGACAATAATGTCATAATGCTAAAAAGTGTGATCCAAAAAAAACAGGCAGAATTTTCTTATAGGCAAAACATATGTCATATTTTCACAAAGTGTCGGTTTGTATTATATTTCCACTGCTAACTCGAATGGAAACGAATGAAGCAGCAGTTACTAATATGAAAATCATTGTATTTGTTGTCTTTTGACAGCACAACACTACATATTCTGTGAAAACAGGAGTACGTTTATCTTACTGGATATGTGTATTGTTTTTGTTTTGTTTGTTTGTTTGTTGTTTTAATAATCTCTTTTGGGTGAATCACACAAAGAAATGTAAATGTAACTCACCCCAAAATCAAAAGAAAAAAAATGTTACATTGTATTGTGCATATGAAAATAAATAAGCCTTTTTTCGGCATTATTATACATTATTGTCATGCCAGTTAAGCACATTTTTCATTACTTTAATGTAAAAAAAAATCATGATTTTAATGTAATATAATAATAAAAATAATCTTGTCTGGGCACAATTATATTTGTATTAAAATATCATGACCACAATTTAATTTAAAATAAATGCAATTTAATACATCAAATATTTTTCTTGTAATTTAATTCACATTGCAGTATTGAGAATTGTTAATTGGCCATTAAAATGTGCTTAATCATAATGACAATAATGTCATAATGCTAAAAAGTGTGATCCAAAAAAAACAGGCAGAATTTTCTTATAGGCAAAACATATGTTTTTGTAATGTGAACTATGACCTGGACATGTTTTGTGTGATTTCCCCTTCTACGTGTTCCAACTTTTAGTTTTCGAGCAATCGCGTCACTTGAGGAGAAATACAGGGAATTTGCCGTGTTTTTATCTTTCAGACATTTCCGTCGGAACCATATAATAGTGTTCAGCTGATTCTGACTGCCCTCGGTCACATGATGCAGTAGGTTAGCTCTGATTGGTTCGAAGTATGACTGAATTGATTATGCAATTTTACGATACAAAAAAACAATTCAATTGCACAATTACGTCACTGTTCTTGAGTCGCAGTGACGGAGCGGAGAGGTCAAGGTAGTGGACGCTGTTCTTCCTGACTGTGTGAATTTCAGTTGTACGTGTTCGTTTGTGATGTTTGTTTGCTCCTGAAGAGAATGCAAGGTCTTTTTTTTTTTTTGCCCCCTCATATTGTGCTCTTCATCCCTCAGAAAACTGTCAGACCTCCGCATGTACCCACAAGCCCCTCAGTTTGTCACCGTGTGAAGCTCTGAGGCCCATTAAAAACAAATCATTGAAAAATGGTGTCGGATTGAATTCCTGTCGATGTGAGGAGATAAAAGGAATGTAAATACCAAATAAAAATGACCAATACAAATATATGAATTTATTTATATAAAAACATGTCAAATGTATTATGAAAATGTGCTAGTTTCATTTTTGATTTATGCAGTTCATATGTATTAAAAATAATTTACATTGCTTTTAAAAAGTAAAAAAAAAAATGCAAATGATACCTTTATTTTTAATATTTAAAAAAAGAAATGATATATTATGAAAATATGCATTCATTTATTTCTATTAAAATGCAAAGAATTTTTAATAGTTAAAACGAAACTATACAAATTGTGTGTATTATTGTATATTGTAAAGAAGTTTTCATTTATAATTTATATTTTTAAAAATATATTTTATATTTATTGATAATTTTATAAGATAAAGATAAGATACATATTTTTAATATCACACACACACGTACATACATATACATATATATATATATATATGAATTTATATAAAAATGTGTAAACTATTATATTAAAAATATATGCTTTATGAATTATAATTGATATAACAATTTATAGAAAACTATAAAAAGAATGTATTATGCTCTTTTTCCTAAAGTTGGAAAAAATCAAACATTCTAGAAGAGGTTCATCTCACCAGTTTAATAAAGCTTGGGACCCTTTTAAGCAATATGTCTCGGAACATGTTTTATTGTCAGACGTAGACTGAGTCTTTGATCCTGCATTTTATAAAAAATTTTCCTCCCCTTCAATTACATTTGATTGTATTATACAGATTGTGCACTTTAGTTGTTTTGCTAAGCCACACTTTTGATTACTTATTTAGTTGTAATTTCTTTTATTGTATTAAGTTGATTTTGTCTTTTGCTTTTTGTTTTCTTCTTTGTATTATTGTCCTAAAACTCATAAAGAAAGCTTTAAAAAAAAAAAAATAATAATGTATTATGAATTGATATACTTTTTATTGATTTATTAATAACAAAATTAATGTAAAGTTTATTCGTTTCTTTGCACATTCTGATGAGAGACGTTTATAGAGCTGATCCTGAAACATCCTCTGAGCAATGTTGTCAGGCTCTTAGATCAGCATCTATCAGGATATCAGCATTGCTGATTGTGTTGATGGTGAGTGTTGGGCTCTATTGATCCACTAATCCAGCAGGCAGGATGGAGGCCGTTCACCCTGATCTTATGACAGGTGGCGTCTTTCTCCTCTGCCTCCCCATCCTCCCTCCTTTGTCTGGCCCACTAATGATTAGAGATCAACACCTGAGTCCCACACACAGCACTGAACGCACTGAACTCCACTGAGCCAAACCAGCAGGACCAGAACCTATAGTGCTATTCAGCAATCCCTTACACTGAGCTATTATAGATGCTTAAAGAGAAATAACATCAACTGAGAAATATTACTTAATATTGTGAAAATGAAAATATTTATATTTACATTAAATTTTAATATTATAAATATATAATTGATTTTATAATATGACCTACTTTTGCATTTAGTTGCATTAATATACTAAAATAATAATCCAAACATGTATGTGTAGATATATGCATTACAGGATTATTCTGCATTTATATTTAATACTAGATTTTTGATAGATGTGGTGATAAATATGTACTGCTCATTTATAGTAATGACACAATAATAATAATATAAAATTATTAAAAAAATAAAACAAATAATATGTAAAATGTTTTCACTTTCTGAAACGTTTGTTTCGCTATTGTAATTAATATTATAGCATTAATATTTTCTTTTTATGTTGGCATATTATTTCATATTTGAATATGTAAAAATATATTTTATATTGTTATATAACATTTATGTGTATTATATTCTGTATTGAAGATTTTGTATATATATTATGATTATTATTTTTGTATTTGGTCCAAATCGTGAAATATTACTTATTATTTATTGTGTATTATATTAATATTATATTATGAATATGCAAGTAGAATTTATTTTTATTTAAATTGTTATTACAAAATGAAATCATTATAAATAAAAATGTAAATAAGTTTTAAATAATATTTAATGAACACACAAAACACGATGTTAAATATGTACTGTACATTTATTATAATGACATGTAAATAAAAATACTTGTATATATACTGTTGCATTATTAGTATTATAGAATTAATATTTTATTTGTGCATAGTATTTAAACATTAAATATTCAAAAATAATCAAATGTTAATTCTGTAAAAATCATAATGCTATTATATTTTTTATTATAATTTGTATTTTATTATATATTATGATTATTATTTTGTTCTTTCAATATTTTTTTATAATAATATACCAGTATTATATAAAATGTTTTGTATAGTTAAGCATTATAGGATTAATGTTGCAGCATTTATGCAATTAATATTTTAATGTATTAATATATATTGAATAAACACATTTTTGGCATATGTAGTACAACCTATTTACTGCAGTTTTTATTTTAATATTAATCAAGGAGAGAGGTAGTACATAAAAAATGTTTGGCTCAAATCAGTGGTGATATTTGTGGCTAAAACTGGCTTTGAATAGCTGCTTCTAATGATGGATTTAGAGAGTGTGTGTGTGTGGCAGGGAGGCAGCAGGTGCAGGATGCAGGTTCCGCATTGGGCTCCTTTATCCCGCAGTTAGTGGAGGGGACAGCTGAGCTCTGGTACCCGTGGGGAGGTGGGGCGGGGTCGAGACGCACTCCTCCGCCAGCTGAGCTCATTAGCATCGCTACACACAACATGAACCCGCACTTGAGAGCAGCTATCATGTTTATGAGAGTACAAAACGACTAGAAACCCACCCGGAGTCCTTTTAAACAGCTGTCACAGACAATCGCAAGCTTTTCTTCTAGTTATCGGTGACACAGCTATGAATATTGGGTAATGAAGGGTATAATTGCTTAAAGCTGAAGCCTGTAAATGCATATAAGCATCTATAAAGACATGAATGATATTGTGCAGCTTGGTTAGAAGAGTTTTTTATTAGTTTTGTAAGCATTCTGACTTAATAAATGGATGTATTTGATTGTTTTGTGTGTTTATGTGTGTGTGTGTGTGTGTGTTTTGAATGTCGTGACCAGGATGGAATCAGTCATTGTCTAATCAAATGACCAGCACACGTGCCTCATATTCACCGCACCCTGACAGTTGGAGCATCCAAGACCCTCTTACACATCTGTAAGCTTTTCCGGCTTGTGTCGTTTTACCATTGAAAACCCCCAATCCTGCACTCTTAGGGTCCGTTCATACAGAACGCATGTTTGCGTTGAAAAATGTGAAGCATGAGTAGTGGAATGGGAAAAAAACGCAAGGTATCATTTTTTAATATGAGCATGATGTTTTTAAAAAGAGATAAGCGCAATGGAAAAGCAGCGCAGTGGTATGCTAAAAAACATAATTTTTTGACAGTGCCAAAGCATAAAAACACGATAGTTCACAAACTTGTTTCTCCGAAAAACAATGCTTTGAAAATGTGCGCTCAGTGTCGGAATGCCTGTTTTTGTTTTAGTCTGTGTGACTCCGCCCCCTGCCAGTTTAACCAATAGTATTTCGACACCCCGGATTGTCAGAGAGCGGAAAACAGCGTTTTGCAGCAATGGAAACCAGCAAACAAACTGGGTCAGAGATTGTAGATTCTACCTGACCTAAAAAGCCTAAATCTAAAAAGCTTGAAGACCAGAGGCATATAAAAACAAATAAATCAACTCATCAGCTCATCGCCTTCCATTGTCAGTTGCGATCATTCCCATCGCTGAACACACACCCACTGCTCCAGGTGTGTGTTCACGCTGTGTGTGTTCACTACTGTGTGTGTGTGTGTGTGTGTGCACTTGGATGGGTTAAATGCAGAGCACAAATTCCGAATATGGGTCATCACCATACTCGGCCACACGTCACAAGTCACTTCACTTGAAAGTTTAAAAAAACAAACACTACTTTGAAGTATAACATTTTCTGAACACAGTGTGAGATGTGAGTGTAACGTTCAAAGACAAACGTTTAGTGCAAGTTTACACAGAAAACAAAAAGTAGCATGTGGGATGCAAAAACGTTTTGCATTTTTGAAAAATTGTAATTCTTTTAACTTGCTGTTTTTAAAAAACGAGATGTCAGCGCAGTAGTCAAAAATGTCAGTCTAGCACGTTTACATAAAAAAAAAAACAATGTAAAAGTAGTGCAATGGAATGGAAAAACATTTTCTGTGTGAACGGCCCCTTGACCCTAAAACACAGTACGCATTTATCCATTTGAAAACACAAGATACAGGGCAGTGGAATAAAAATCTCATTTTTTTTCTCAAGATGCTTTAAAAAAAAATTTACTTTTAATTAATTATAATTAATAAGTTATTAATTCTTTTAACTTGAGCACCATTTTTAAAATGTGTTAAGGACCATTCAATAAGAATGCGCTTTTGCGTTTAAAAATGCAAGATGCAGAGTAATGAGATGAAAACAAACACAAGGTCTAGTTATGTTTTTTTTTTTAAGTTTAATTACTTTTAACTTGAGCATTGCTTTTTTGTTTTTTTTTATGCAAAAGTTGCGAGATGCGAGTGCAGTGGTCAAACACGTACTGTATGTGTTGTGTATGTTTACACAGAAACACATTGAAGAAGCAGCGCAGTGGAAAATGCATTCATTGTGACCCCTTACCACTAAGACAGAATGCATCTTTGATTTCAAAAATGCGAGATGCAGGGTAGTGGAATTAAAAAGAGATGCGGTTTAAAGTTGAAATATTCCTTAAAGCGATAGGTCACCCAAAAATAAAAACCCTCAAGTTGATGGTAGCCATTGACTTCCATAAAAATAAATCTCATGTGGGTTTGGAACATCTGGAGGGTGAGTAAATGAAGACAGAATTTAAATTTTTAGGTGAATTACCCCTAAAAAGGAGTATTTTGAGTTCAGTATTATTCTGAATCCACACTGTATTTCACTGTATTCTTGGTCCTTCTAAAATACCTACAAAATATGAAGAAAAAAAACGAGCCGTCTCTCAAAAGCCAGTTGTTTTATTTCATAGTAACACATATAAATAAATGTAACAAAATACATTAGGTTGGTAGCTTTTTGTGTTGCACGTACTGTAATACTGATATCCTTCAAGACAGCATGCTAATCGGACTGCACTGTAGAGGCAGAACAATGTGCTGGCTAATGGAGAAATATCCAATCAGTTTACTAAAGAGCATTCAGAGCTGATGATCAATGCGACTGCAGCGTGTGCACTCAGCCATTCTAAGAGAGTATATAAACCTCTTTTGACCATGTACGATATAGATCTGTTTACTTGTCAGCAGCATGGGGAAGGTTTCGTACTAAAACCGAATACAAAAACAACAGAGGATTTGGATGAAAAAACATTTTTGTCAACTTTTTGGCAAACACATGTACACTATCCTTCATTGCAATAACACTTGAGTTTAACTTTCAGTACATGAAATATCCTTGTCCTTCATACACACTGCAGACTGTACTACAAATATAATATTCTTTTGTAATGGTAGTACCATTCTGGCCCAAAAAAAAAAACAGCCAATGAATGTGACTCAAGGTCTGGTCACATTTAATGCTGTTTGGCAAAATTTCGCCATTTCAATCGGACCGTGCACCATTGAGAGTTTCGTGTGAGGGCAAAAAAGTTCCCACGTAGATTTCGGTCATCTTCAAGTTGGTCACGCAACTCTCCACACGGATCGACAGAAAGTTGATTGGTTTGAAAGTAATTTCTGTTTGAGCTGGGCTTCGTTTCTACACTATTTACAATGGACAGTGTGCCTGTTTTTTCGCTGAAAGTTTGCTAATGTGACCACACCTTCAATAGCGTATGTTTTCAAGGTACCACTGTAAACTAAGCCCATTCACACCAAAAACAGTAACTACAGCGTTAAAGGGGTCATATGATGCGATTTAAATTTTTCCTTTCTCTTTGGAGTGTTTCAAGCTCTTGTTGCATAAAGAAGATCTGTAAAGTTGCAAAGACTAAAGTCTCAAATCCAAAGAGATATTCTTTTTAAAAGTTAAGATTCAACCACAGCTACCTAAAACGGCTCATTCTAACACCCCCCCCACATGTCTACATCATGATGTGTGAAGATTTGCATAACGCCGCCCAAATGTTCACGCAAAGAAAGAAGGCGTAACTTTTATTCTCGCTGTAGTATTGTTGTTGCCGCCGACCGCCATGTCGTGAAGACGCTGTGTGTTTCGTTGTGAAAGAGAAACTACTTTGTTTGGCCTTCCAAAAGAGGATGATATCCGCTTCGTCATGCCTAGAGCTGGTCCGTGCTGGTCGCTGAGGAAATACATCAACTTCGTGCTGTGGATCACCGGATTGGCTTTCACCGTGGATGAAGCAGAGTCCAGCCCGGGGTCGTCACGTGGTTGCCGCAAGCCGGCCTCCGCTCATTCTAGGCCGCTGGCCACTGCTCACTCTAGCCCGCCGTGTGTGACGCTGTTTCGTTGTAAAAGCGAAACTACTTTGTTTGGCCTTCCAAAAGAGGACACGACTAGAAATCAGTGGTTAAGTTGTATTTACAACACTGTTCCAGAACAGTTCAACCCAAATATTCAGGTGTGTGCAGCGCATTTTATGGAGGACTGTTTACTGATCCTGGTAGAGTAGACTACAGTGCCGGCTGTTCTGACTCACTGTCTGTATGTTTTTTATATTTAAAGAATTTGCCACTGACAATTCAAACGCGAGTTTTGAGCAGTGTAGAGTAGCGCTTGTAGTTTGTCATTTCTCCGATCACAAATGCAGACCTGGTTTTATGTTTACGCAGTGCGATGCAACGCAATGCGTAAAAAGACAGTATAAGTCATTATAATCAGTAATTATGTCCCCACTGGATGCAACAAATGCCTCGTTTATAATGGGTTGATATGATATGTAGCTATAATGATTTCTACCAAATACACAAAATAATGTTCTTTTTAGCAACATCATATGACCCCTTAAACTGTAATGATAAATGCAAAGTTCTGTCATGAAACTACAGATGGCGCAGGCCGTAGGTTCTAACTCAATCAGATATAATCACATTATTATTCACATGGCGCAGCTGATTGGTTTCTTTCACATCAGCAGCCAATGAGCCTGCTGCTCAACATTTAAATACTCAGCTAGTGCTTGCTGTAGCAGTTGCAGCGCGCTTCAGAAACCCTCCACCTTCCCCAGCTCCACTTGTATAGATCTGTACGGGGTAATTTCATGTGTGTTATATATGGGGGTTGTTTTATATATGTTATATGTACAGCAACAGTATTTCCTACATGCTCACAGCAGCACGTCTGTGGATGTATTGGCAGTAGCAAGTCTCTGTACTCGCTCTGCCGCAGCAGTAGCATAGCAGATCTATTCCGCCAAGACTAAACACATTATCATTGCCATGTATATTCCCATGCTAAACTCTCAGAGAGTTGTCATGACAGAACTATATTAGCATCCACAGCAACATGCAATAACAATCTGTTTAAAACGAGCACTGCAGTTTTGTCATCTGCCTCTTTAAATGCTCGAACTGTTTAAAGCAGGATGAATTCTGATTGGCTGCCAATGTTTTTTTGTTGTTCATCACCTGGAAAGTGACTCCAACGACAAACTTGTTCCTCTGTGTTGTTATCATTATAGTTGTGGACTGTGTTATTTTTATGACTTTAGAATGATTTTTAAAACTATATCTTTTGTCATTATTGTTATAGTTATTGTTTTTGGTGTGAACAGGCCTTTAGCCATAACAGTGGCTTCAGGGATGAATTCACCCAAAAAAATGAAACTGAATTGGAACAAAATGTATAAAAAAATAAAAATTTTGGTGACTATCCCTTTAATATGGACCATTGTGTGATCATTATGATAAAACTCCAAAGGTCAGTAAAACGTAATACTGCCGTTTTCACGAACTCATCCCTGACTTAATTTCTGATGCTTTTTTGCAGTTTTCATTTATGTTGACTGGAACAAAACGTGGTTCTGATACAGTCTTGACTTCAGTTAGCGCTGTAAGCGTCTATGTCGTAGTACGCGGATTGAAGCTGTGCTGTTTTGAGTCATTAAACGGGTCACCAGGTCCAGACTGAGTCCCGCCACCTTCTCACCGTTCACCTCTAATATCTCGTCCCCGACCCCGAGCAGCCCCGCGTAGAGTTTCTCCATATTGCTGTCACCCATTTCTTCAACGTACACCCCTTAAACATAAAGCCAGTTAGTCTTAAACTTTCTGACTATGTCAGAAGTGCATGAAGCGGGAGGTCACTCACCTGAGTCTGGCCTGCCTTTTCCTCGGGAGATGAGAAAGCCGAAGGGGCCGTTGGGGGGTCTGGAGAGCTCCAGCAGGATGGTGCCGTCAGGGAAGGCCTGAGCCACGCGTCCCACCGGACGCACCGCACTGGGCCGCCCCACATCCTCTACACTCAAGGCACGCTGAAGACCCCTAAAAACACACACAGATTTATCTACTTAGAAAGACCAAAAAAGTGCAACAGAACTATTTTAGTGTCAGATTATATGGTGAGTTACTTATTATTTACTAATTATAATATATTATTTTGAAGTATGTTCATTTAAGCAGTTCTATTTTTATTTTTTATTATTTTCTTAGAAATTTGTGAGTGGTTCTTAACAGTGAATGTTTCTACCACTAGGCCAGAGGTGTTGAAAAATCTTTTTAATGTGTTGCTATGCAGTTACTAGGAGGTATTGTGTGGTTACTAGGTGGATATATTTTTAAATTATATTTATATGTAATTCAAATTATATATGTAGAAATATATAATTTGATAAATTAAAATGATATAATAAATGTTACATATATGAAGTATTTTTTTATTAGTAGATAATTATATTTATAATATAATATGTCATTTTAAAATAAAATTATATAAACAGACACACTGGGCCATATACCATGGTAGTATTTGAATACTACATTCATATACCATGGTATTTGAATGGCATGGCACTCCCAGGTACTGCAAAGAAAACCTTAAATTTCCTTATAATTATATTATATTATAAAAGGGCCTTATGATATGATTTTTTTTTTTTTACAAAAAAATAAAATAATATAATATAAAAACAGTTTAATATTTATTATTGTACAGAATTAAATTTTTTCAACTGTGAAATTTTTTCATGGAAGCCGGTCATATAATGATAGTCCCCAGACGTATCGCAGTGTTTGCTCCTTGTATTTCAGCTTGTCTTTTTATCTCCCTTTCTCTGTGTCAGATCCAAGTGAACAGCCAATTATAGCATGTCTCTGTAGCGGCTCTCTGCTTTCTTACTGGCTCTCAAGAAGGATGATGTAAGCTGCAGCTCTTCTCCAGTCACTGGGGCTGGAATTCCTCTCTGGCTATCTCTCCTTCACTCAGACACACATTCACACACACATAAACACGACACGCACTCACAGGCACTATCGAATCACAACACTGGCGACAAACACACTATCTGGCACTGTGAGCAACCCAAACACACATGCTTAAAGGGCAGCATCTAGTAACACACACAAGAGGCTGAATATAGCAGCAGCATGTAGACGAGTGATCATTCCCTGCATTCCATGTCTTTCTTTGGCAGATACACACACCTCTATTTTTATCTTCCCTCCCTCCCTCTCTGTCTGTTTTTATTGCTGCTGCTGCTGACCCAGTCAAAGGAAAATACTTATCTCGTTGCACAACACGACAGCTGTCTGAACATTACAGGAACACGATGCGTGCTCCGCAGAACATGTCATGCTTCAAATTGCCATTGTTCATAACACTAAAAGGTTACAAAGAGGTAAACAGGCAGATTTATTGAGATCAAGTGGTGTGCATGTGTATGAAATAATACTTAAATAATATTACTGTGGTGTTGGCGTTACCATAGTACAGGGATGGTAACAGTAAATAATACTATGATATTTTGATATAGGTCAAAGACGAGATAAGAAAAGCAGACAGTATGACTCTCATAACTGTCATTATTTTGTATTTTTAAAATTATTTTTATTTTATATATATATATATAATTTAACCATTAAAAATGTTGATATTAAAAAAATAATAATAATAATTCTATATATAAATATAAATAAACTATAACTAAAAATATAAATATAAATAAAATACCCTTAAAACATAATCAATATTCAATGTAATATTCATGATTCAAATATTCTATAAGTAAATATAAATAAAACATAACTATAAATATAAATAAAATACCCTTAAAACAATCAATATTCAATGTAATATTCATGACTCAAAAATTTATATTTGTATACATATTTCTAATATTTGTGTTTGACATTTCAAAATGTATATACATAAAAACAAATATATATTTTAAATATATAATTTTACAAATATTTATATTTTAGTCGTGGGAAGTCGTGGCCTAATGGTTAGAGAGTCGGATTTGTAACCCAAAGGTTGTGGGTTTGAGTCTTGTAGGGATTGTAGGTGGGGGGAGTGAATGTACAGCGCTCTCTCCCACCTTCAATACCACGACTGAGGTGCCCTTGAGCAAGGCACCGAACCCCCAACTGCTCCCCGGGCGCCGCATCATAAATGGCTGCCCACTGCTCCGGGTGTGTGTTCACTGCTGTGTGTGTGCACTTTGGATGGGATAAATGCAGAGCACTACTTCCGAGTATGGGTCACCATACTTGGCCTCACGTCACTTTAACCTTTTATAATTGTTTTATATAATCCATAGTCATTTTTTCCTGGGTCAAATAATGTAACCCTGAAAAAAATAAACAATTATGATATTTAAAAAACATTTATGAATATAAATGTCAATACAACAATGCATTTCTTGGCAGCTGTATATGTTATATTATCATGATGTTGCCTGAAAGCATGGTAATATCATTGAACCATTATATTATATTATATTATATTATATTGTTTGGTGTAATTTGAAGTGATGCATCATTTGTAAGTTGTGTAACTACTGTACCTGGTTAATACAGGACTACAGGGCTGTTCTCCTGGAGTGTATGCAGAGGAACGGTCTGTTTTCTTTCCGGGGATTTGGAGGTTTTGAGCCGATGAAGATCTCCTCAGCTGGAGAAACGGAGACCCCTAGTGGTGAGAAATGACAGTCAGCGCCGCTCTCTTGAAATTTGAACAAGTAGCATATTGACACATCCATGTAACTGTATCTTCAAATTATGATAAAATAATTCAGAAATGGATTATATCATCAAAAGATGAGCAATAGGTCTTAAACACTCTAGCGGGATGTGGGAGCTCATTTATAATGTAACTGTACATATTGGTCTCTTTAATAAAGTACATTATTTTAATACAGTAGTGTGATTCAACAAGATAACATGCTTCCTTGTCGCACAACATGATATTTTACAACCTCAAATAACCTTGCCTTCTCATAAAAATGTACAATTATTTGATATTTTAAGAAACTTACACACACAATACCCATGACATAATTTTCTGTTTTAATTTTTGTGCATATAGGTTATATGAGTGAAGACAAAAGTTAATATTACATCATGTCTTTTTTTTTTTTTATAAATAAATAAATATTTTTTACTAATTATTAAAAATACATGTTTTATAATTTTATAATGATTAATAATAATAGAGAAAACAAATCCCACTGACAAAAAGGTGTTTGTTTGTTTTTCTTTTTGGCTTATTTTATTAGTTTCTTTTTTCTTTCTTTTTTTCTTTCATTAATTTTATTTTATGGTGCAATTTCGATTTTGTGATGTCTGTATA